GTTTAACCAATGCTCCTATTAGAGACTCAGCTGTTGAGCTCATACTACATGACTGGTAAGCAATTTAAAAATAAGATTTAAATATGAATAAGAACATGGAGGACTCCATGGAACAGCTCTCGCAGATTTAATGCAGTGCTAAAAGTCATGCGGCCTTAAACTTTGTTCATTAAATCCAAAAAGGAGCAGGTATTTTGTTTGGTTGTGTTGTGACAGATCAACAGGCCAATATTCTGCTATTTTGCTTTTTTGCCTGTGCTTTTTTTTTTTTGCAAATACATTTTTTTTTTATTTGTCAAAGTATTAAAACTTCTTAGTAAATCCAAATCTCTTATTATTAAGTTCAAAAATATTTATATATGGACCCATCAGCTCTTCAAAAAACTGTTTATTCACTGTAGACTTGATTATAACGGAGCAAAATGAGACAACATTTACTAGGCTCTGCAAATTTGGAACAAAAAAGAAAAGTGCCTTAAAATATTCTGAAACTTTTTGAACATATTCTGATGCACTGTAGACTTTGATCAAATTATCTGACTGACAAACGGTTTGAGCAATAAATACTGAGTGATTGAAACACAAGACTGAAAATCTGGTGTGGATTCAAGTTTAAGGTAAAAAAACTAAAGTTTGTTCTTGAAATTAAGGTTCAATTTTAAATCTGTTTTTGGAGACAATGCTTTGAATGATTTATTGTGTTAATAATTTAAAATGTTTTGCCTCTCCTTTAATATCCTGTTAAGCACTTATAATAGCTGAAGAATGATTACTGCTTTTTAAATAAAGTTGCTTTGCACATAAATGAACTGAAAAGCTTTCTTTTTTCTATTTAAGACAATATTACAATAAGGCCTCTGTTAGAAAAAGGAAAGAGAAGACAATGGCTACTTTGCCAGCAGAGTTTTTTTTTAAACAGTTTTTAAAAATGATGGAAAACCAAAATAAATAAAAATTGTTATTTCTTTTTACTCTGATCAGAAAAATAGTTAATAGCAAGTGCACATTCTGATAATTTTCTTTAGATTTGGTATACGATACTAGTTATTAAAAATTATTGCAGCAACCCTCACTGCTCACTAATAGTAAACTAAAAGTGATTGGTCATTTCAGGTTGTTCTCAAAGTCTCCAATACAAAAAGAGGGGAGTAGCTTGCTTACTCACTGGTTGGTGAAGACAGTAAGCTCCAAATTATTACCAAACTGTCTAATAGCACAAAAAAAAAAATCACTACATTGGTTGCTCTTTTTTATTTCTAGAGGGTTTGGTCTGCTTTGTTTTTTGTTTTTTTCAGTCTGCTTCATCACCTGCAAAGAACAACACAACCAATTGATATAGTATAAAAGAAAAAATAAAGTAACATTTCGGTGAAGTATAAGCAGTACTATTGAATCTGACATGTATACTGTGGTAGCTGAAGTTAAGAATAGGGGCTTTCTGTATGGAAGTGAATCTCTAAGTACCTGGAAATAAGCACCTGTCGTTGTTTGTGAGAGTGACCTTGTGCATGTTAAAGGAATAGTACACCCAAAACATGATTAGCCTTCATTTTCTACTCACCCCCAGGCTGAACAACACTCTGGAGTACTTTTTTGATATCTCAAATGCATCTGTAGATATCAAAAAAGTACTCCAGAGTGTTGTTCAGCATGGGGGTGAGTAGAAAATGAAGGCTTATCATGTTTTGGGTGTACTATTCCTTTAAGTTTATCCAAAGAAACAATACTCAGTAACGGTTGTGAAGAGCCAAAGACGCGCCCCTCTAGAGCACTGAGGCACCCAGAGGGACCCCAAGAGCAAAGGCGCCCAGGAGGGACCAACCAAGAAAATCCACCCCCCTACCAAGGAGGGAGGAGAGACGACCCCAACTATATCCTCCAGCCACAGCAATGCCGGAGCCCCCAGGAGCCGCGGGGACGAGTCCGCGGGCTCCGCCGGCAGCCAGCCACCCTGAAGTGGATCTGGCCATATGCCCCAGGGACCCAAGACCCCTGGGGTTCCCCAATCTCCTGGCGGGGGTCCTGGCTGGGCCCCAGGCCCCACGGAGCAGCCACCAGGAATAAGCCAGTACTCGCCCGGGCATCCACCCCCAAACAACGAGCATCACCAGTGCACCAGTGAGCCCAGGTGCCAGCCAGCGGAGGGAAAGCAGGACGGAGTGGGCTCCGCACTTAACAAAGACTTGAGATGTTCTTGGGAGAGAGAGCAATTCAGACTCCAACCTGAGAGATGCAAAAAAATGTAAAACAAATTAACAATACAATACAAAGTTTCAATCAAACCTTCCTACCCTAGTGCCACAATTCGCAACACACAGTCCCTTTGAAAAAAAAAAAGCGGGCGCACATCCAATAATCCCAGGACCATGGACCGGTTGCCGGTCCCGGGATAAATGGATGACCCAGACCCAAAAGGTGAACCTAAAATCCGTATTGGAGTGGGGGGGGGGGGTGCTTCAGACCCCAGCGCACCCAACCCACCCAATCAACAACCCAGAACCCTCAGTGTTTCAACGTGAGAAGAGCCAACCGAGGTGAGGCCCATGAACTAACCCCCCCGTGTACTCGCTTCCCACCCCCACAGACAATGCCCTACATAGATGTGTGTTGTGAAAGTGTTGTCGATGGAAGTGTCTAAAATGAAAAATAAAATTGAGGTAGGGGACGTCATCAGAAGGTGGGACCCTGCAGTAACGACCCCCTCCACAAAAACCTACATGTGTGGCAGTGTGATGGAGCAGGCACGGGAAGGAGATTGGGGATGGGGAGAAAAGGACCAGGGGACTTACTGCACTCCCAGGGAGCCAGCTTCCCGGCTGACTCCAATAGGCCCCCCCGTTCCCAAGAGCCCCCCCGGAGAGGGGCTCTCACCAGTCGCACCACCATAGCCCGGGAGCCAGGGACAGGCGGCAGGGCCCATGAGCCAGCTGGAAATTTAATCCCATGACATGACACAGCACTGGTTCTGTCTTTGGTGTCCTGAAAATCATGTGGGCTATGTTGATAATACTTTTTTAAAAAACCTTAAGAACCTCATGAGATCCCTTCTAAAATACATATAAAACATCAACATTTACTAAATCTCTCTGAATGAAAAAAAAAAACATGTTCTTAATTTTTATCAAACAATTCACCTTTATATATTCACCTTTATATATATATATATATATATAAAAAACTACCACTAAATAAAAAATCATAAACGACCACAATGGGTCACTGTTGGACCAATAAACAAATAGGTTATTTTAACCATTTCTTTGTGATTTACACCACGTCTTGTCACAACGACAACAAAATAGTAATGAATAAACAGTAAATGAACTGCTGAACAGGATTTCTTAACTTTAATAAATTAATAAATCTGCATAGAAATATTAGTGGATAAATGAGCTATACAACTGTCGTTTTTTTGTCTGTTATCATCAATGTTAACAATATTTGAAAAACAGCCAGTTTTTTATTCAGAATCAGAATTATTTATGAATCCCTTGTGGGAAATTATTTTCTTGCAGTACACCCATTAACAGAAGAGACAGAGCAAAATAAAATATAATAAAAATAAGTAACACCTCATACAGTAAACTTACCCCCTTCCCCTATAAACATCAACCCCTCCCATATAAACAATGTAAAAAAAAAAAAAACATATACGGTAAGAATAAGATAAGATATTGTCTCAGTAAATACAATCCATATTTACAATGCTAGTCATTACCTAAATAACTATTATGGCACATGACATGGTTATTGCCCATAGTGAAGTAATGAAATAAATAAATATTAAGTAATGAAATGAAATGACTGCGAGAGAAATGAATACACGGAGCATGGAGTAGGTGCTGGGTAAAATCTGTTGAAAAACAGATTCACGTTGTTCTGCTGCTAAATGGTCTGAAGGTCTGCTGAAGGTCCTCATGCTGCTCCCGACCTCTCTTGTGTTGTTCTTCTGAAGATTCCTCTTCAGCTTTCTTCTGTATTTGTCCTTGGCTTCTCTAATCTTCACTCTCAGATTCCACTGGATCGTTCAAACCTCCTCCTTGTTGCCAGCTCTCCTCCTCCTTTGTTACCCACAGCTTGTTACAGTCTTTGGGTAACAAAGGACCGTCTTTGATGGGACGACTCCGAAGTGAGCCCATTAATGGGTCACTGGAGGTTGGACATGAGGCCGGGGGTGAGAACGGGTCTTTGGAGGCCGGCTGAGGGGCCGGAAGCGAAGCAGAGTCCCATGAGGCCGGCCGTAGGAACCTTGGAGGCCCCCGTCTCTACAGCAGGAACTTTGGAGCGCAGCATCTCTGCAGCAGGAGAGGCTATGGAGAGGCGGCGCAGCTTGAGAACCATGAAGAGGAGGCGCAGCTTAAGATCCACAAGGATGGAGATCCAGGCAGCTGATTGACCATGAGGCACTACAGATGGTAACTGATGTCTCTGGAGGGTCATAAAAGAGAAGGAATGCCCATGGAGCGCCCACTGAGAGGCCTGGGAGGTGAGGAGCCCCAACTGAGGGGCCTTGGAAAGAAACTCTCACAGATCTCTGTTTCACAGCATGATCCATCATGGGGCTCAGGGGATTTGGAAGGTACAGAGCATGCTCAGGGTCTCTGGATGGCAAATAACATGCTCAGAGGTCTCTGAACGGCACAGAGCGTGCTCAGGGGTCTTAGGATGGCAAATAGCATGCTCAGGGGTCTCTGGACGGCACAGAGCGTGCTCAGCGGTCTCAGGATGGCATAGAGCGTGCAGGGTCTCTGGACATCAAAGAGAGTGCTCTGGGCCAGCTTGGGGGTCACTAAGAGGAGAGGAGAAAGTCCTTGCTGAGTCCACAGGGGAAACCGACCTGGTTTGGCAGCCTACTAAGGCTGGCAGCAGGCTGAGCCATTGGAGAGGGAGTAGTGACATCAGGCTGACCCATTGGGGAGGAGGTGGTGGCGTGAGGCTGACCCACTGGAGAGGCCTTTGCATTTTTCCAGCGGCAGCGGTGCCTGCTCTTGGAGTGGTCAGTTCAGGAGACACTGCAGAGGGTTAGGTAGAAGTAGAATTCCAGGGAAGGGGATAGAACTGACAAAGCAGTGGCTGATCAGGCAGCAGCTGCAAGTTGTTGCACCAAAATGTCCAGCAATCCTAAAGCAGAAAGAAGTGTATTTTGTGGAGTTATCAGTTTCCTGTAGC